CTCATCTCCCCTCTCCTCCCCTCCCCTCTTCTCCCCTCCTCTCTCTTTCCTCTTCCTCCTCCACTTCCATCTTCTCTAAGACTGGGACTCACACTCGGTACCCGATGCTTTTGCTCATTGGCTAGTGCTCTACCAACATCCATGCCACCAACTCCTCATGGAATTGCCTTTACTGAGCAAACGATTTGTGTTGGTCATTGTAAGACATGGAGATCACTTTTAAGATTTCAGTGCATGAGCCAGGTATAGGTGGCTTACACCTGTAATCCTAGCTACTCGGGAGGCTGAGATCTGAAGATCATGGTTCAGAGCCAGCCTGGCAGGAAAGTCTGTGAGACTTTTATCCACCAGAAAACCAGAAGTGGTGCTGTGGCTTAAAGTGGTAGAGCGGGGCTGGGAGGGTGGCTCAGTGGTAGAGCGCTAGCCTTGAGTGAAAAAGCCAAATGAGTGTACAAGACCCTGAGTTCAAGCTCCAGGATTGGCATCATTAAAAAAAAAAAAAGAGCCACCAGCTGGGGGCTCAGGCCTGTGACCTAGCAAGTAAGAGGCTGAGATCTGAGGATCATGGTTTGAAACCAGTCTGAGTAGGACTCTTATCTCCAATAAACTATTCAGAAAAATCCAGAAGTGGTGCTTTGGCTCAAATGGTAGAGCGTTAGCTTTGAGCATAGAGAGGCTCAGGGACAAAGCCCAGGCCCTGAGTTCAAGCCCCAGAACCAGCAGAGAGAGAGAGAGAGAGAGAGAGACAGACAGAGACAGATAGACAGAGACACAGAGAGAGACAGAGAGGGGGGAAAAGAAAAGAAAAGAAAAGAACGGCAGGCATTGTAGATATGGTGTGGATTTGGGCCGCTCGGGGCAGCTTAGCTGCAGCATTAAAATCAAGAAGTCGATGGATTGTAGCATCAGCTCCCTGGATTGACCTCGTGGCTGATAGAATGAGGGGGGCAGGCCGGGAGGAATGGGGGCCATGCGAAAGAGAGACTGGAAGTGATGCCAACCCCACCTTCCCCTGTGTGTCCCAGAAGTCTGTCAGATGAGCATTTGCTCATCAGAGTGGGTGCACAGCGCTTCAGAACGGGGTGTTTGTAGGGAGACAGGATGTCTTGAGCTGGAGGGAAAGGTCCGTGTGGTGAATTGGGAAAGAGCAGGTCCTGCAGTGCTGGACAGTAGGAAAGTGCCAGGGACAGAGGTGTCGCCTGCCTGTGATGGTTAGGACTCTTTGTGTCATGTGCCTGAGCAGAAGTAGTTTCAGGGCTGAATTTGGGAACCTACACATCAAAGGTAATGTTTGCCCATCTTTCTTTTTTCTTTGTTGGTCCTGAGGCTTGAACTCTGGGCCTGGGCGCTGCTCAAGGCCAGTGTTGTACCACTTGAGCCACAGTGCCACTTCCAGTTTTCTGGTTGTTTTGAGATAAGAGTCTTACAGACTCTCCTGCCCAGGCTGGCTTTGAACCATGATCCTCAGATCTCAGCCTCCTGAGTGGCTAGGATTACAGGTCTGAGCCACCAGTGCCCGGCTGTCCATCTTCTTAGAGTCAGTATAAGATTTCTCTGTCATGTTCTGGAACTTCTGTGAACATGGGAGCTGGGAGGAACAGAGCAAAGGAGAGGAGCAGAAACAAATGTATGGTCTCCCGTATGGTCTTCCATAAGCCCAGGAGAATCGAACTTTTTTTTTGTACCAGTACTGGGACTTGAACTCAGGGCCTGGGCACTGTCCCTAGTTTTTTCACTTAAGGCTGGTGCTCTACTACCTGAGCCACAACTCCATTTCAAACTTTCCTGCCTCAGCTGGCTTCAAATTGTGATCCTCAGATCTCAGGTCCCTGAGCAGCTGGAATGACAGATGTGAGCCACTAATACCCAGGTGATCCAATAATTTCATGTAAGGAAATTCAAAAGTTTCACCTGTTTGCCAAAATGTTCAGGAAACATAAATGGAGGATGAGCAGAACAGAGAAAAGATTGGGGCTCCTTTAGCATAGGGGTTGGGATTTTAAGGGTTTGGTGATATAAAGCAACACCCTGGGCTTTGGTTGTTCTACAAGATCTGGACTGATGGCATTAGATTATTCCTTCCTCATCCGATGGGTCATCAATTCATTTTGTTTTGTTTTATTTTTCCCTCTCCCTGCAGTACTCATGTACTGGAAGCAAATAGCTACTTACAGCTGAACCCAACCATCCCTGGAGTGTATTCTGGAAATCCATACCCATTTGGGATTGATCCGGTAAGAATGTCTTCTGTGTAGAATGTTGTAGAGAAGCTCTCTGAATAGAGGAGGAAGAAGGACTGGAATGCATCAACCCCACAAATCTTGGGATCAGATGGATGAACATGAGCCAGAGGTTTTTTATGAAACATGGCGCTGGATTCCAGTACAAACCCTCCTTGTGATCGCTCTCAGCCCCACCGCTCTCGGCATCCTTCTGCCATTCCACTCGGAGTTAGGTGAATGATTCTGAAAAGCCCTTGGTTTGGTAGGAAGTATATTTAGTAGATACCTTATTTAGCATCAATCAGGCCCTTTCCTTTGTTGTTTTCTCTCAGGAGGGAGCATTTCTCCCTTTTATCTATCTATCATCTAGTGTGGGTACTGGGGCTTGAACTCAAGGCCTCATATTCTCATTTGGCTTTTTAACCTAAGGCTGGTGCTCTGTCACTCGAGCCACACCTCTACTTCTGGCTTTCTGGTGGTTAATTGAAATAAGAGGCTCATACCTTCCTTCCTTAGCTGGTTTTGAACTAAGATCCTCAGATCTTAGCCTTCTGAATAGAATTATATAGACATGAGCCACCAGTGCCTGGCAGCATTTTCTATTTTTTGTAGTAAACTACAGATTTGCTTACTTTTTTTTTGTCGGCCGTGGGGCCTGAACTCTGGGCCTGGGAGCTGTCCCTTAGCTCTTCAGCTCAAGGCTAGCGCTCTACCACTTGAGCCACAGCGCCACTCCCTGTTTTCTGGAGGTTAATTGGAGATAAGAGGCTCATGGACTTTCCTGCCCTGACTGGCTTTGAACCATGATCCTCAGATCTCAGCCTCCTGAGTAGCTTTGCTTTTACTTTTGTTTTAACTGCCTCAACACACATTTTAAAAGAAGATATCCAATTCGTTTTATTTATTTGCTTGTTGTATCCTAGTCAACTAGATGTGGGATGAACAAGAACAAAGGAGATTCCAGATACACATGCCCAAGCTTATGATAAGCCAAGCTCATGATGGCCCAGCACAGACTGCCACCAGGGGGCAGCCTTGTGCTCCAAATGAATATGAACAGGCTAGACTTGAACCTGGCAGATGCTTGACGTTCATGTTTTCATTTACAGCTTCTCTTTGTGGGCTGGAAGTGGAGATCTCAGTTCTGTCCCTTAACTTTTTCTGTTCAAGGATGGTGTTCTACCAATTGAGCCAGCTTTTTGCTGGTTAATTGGAGATAGGAGTCTCATGAGCTTTCCTGCCCAGGTTGTCTTTGAACCTGGATCTGAGCTTAGTTTTCTTAGTCTCCTCAGTTGCGAGGATTACAGGTGTGAATCATTAGCATGTGTCAGGTATTCTACAGTTTATGAACCAGGTCAAATCCTTGCAATCTGGTTTGTAAGTGTGAAGGGTTAGACCCAAATGCATGTGGTTATATTTGTAGACTGGAAAGCCTTATCTTTGGACAGAACCATGTGATGATCTCTAAGTAGCGAGTTGGTGTGGAGAGACCATGTGGCTTCCTGTCTTTTCCCAGCCCACATTTAAGGCATCAGCAAACTGTCTGCTGCCCTCAGGCAGAGCAGCATGTAGAAATGTACATTTTAAAGTCAATGGTCCAGGGCTGGGAAGGTGGCTTAGTGGTAGAGCGCTTGCCTTGCATGCCTGAGGCCCTGGGTTCGATTCCTCAGCACTACATAAGCAAAAAGAAAAAAAAAGCCGGAAGTGGCGCTGTGGCTCAAGTGGTAGAGCGCTAGCCTTGAGCTGAAGAGCACCCAGGCCCAGAGTTCAGCCCCACGACCGGACCCCCCCCCCCAAAAAAAAAATAATATAGTCAGTGGTCCAGATTTCTTCTTTACATGAAATTTTGTCTTCTGCTAACAAGTTAGAAAAGGAAGGAAAAAAGTTAGGCTGAAGGAGATGATGAGATGTTGAAATAAAGAATTTCCAGAAGGAGAGGGGGAGGGAGGGTAAGAGAAAAGAAAGAAGAAAGGAAGGAAGGAAATAAATTTAAGGTTCTTAAAGTAATACATACTTGCTAAGAAAATCTGGATAGAGAGAGAGGAGAGAGAGAGAGAGTGTGTTAGGTACTCACTCTCGAACTCAGGGCCTCGATCTCTTACTCAGGGCTGGTGCCCTGCCACTTTCAGCCTTTTGCTAGTTAATTGGAGCTAAGAGGCTCTCAGATTTGTCTGTGCTGGCCAGCTTTGAATCTCGATCCTCAGATCTCAGCTCCTCGGTAGCTGGGATTGCAGGCGTGAGCCACCGACGCCAGGCATTCACCTATTCCTGTCTTGTTTCTTTATCCAGATTTGGAACCTGGCTTCAAACAAACTCACCTTTTTGAACTCTTACAAAATGAAGATGTCGGTTATCCTTGGGATTGTGCAGATGATCTTTGGCGTTGTTCTCAGCCTCTTCAATCACATGTGAGTGTCTGGAGTTACCTGTCTAGGGCAGAGTCACCAGTGCGCTGTTTCTCTGTGCTGCCCTGTGTTGCCGGCCTGGCTGGAAACAGGGACTCTTTCTTCTACGCAGTCTGTCAAAAATCATTGGAAACACCTGCAAGGTGGGAGCTTTGTTCAAGCAGTGATCCAGGGAGGACTTGTGGAACTTCTGGCCGGTGTGCGACCCTGTATTCCATGCCCTCCCGCTGTCTCTGCTTCTCCATCTCCTCCTCCACCTCTTCCTCTGTTTTCTTTTCTTCTTTCTTCCTCTGCCTCCTCGTCTTCCTCTTTTTTTGTGTACCAGTTCTGGGGCTTGAGCTCAGGGTTCATGCTCTCTCTTGGCTTTTAAAAATTCTAAGCCCCAATCCTGGGGCTTAAAATGCACCTGGGCGCTGTCTCTGGGCTCCTTTTTGCTCATGGTTAGTGCTCTACTACTTGAGCCATGGCACCACTTCTGGCCTTTTCTGAGTAGTTTATTGGAGATGAGTCTCATGGACTTTCCTGCCCCGGCTGGCTTTGAACCACACCCTCAGCCTCCTGAGTAGCTAGGATTATAGATGTGAGCCACTAGTGTCCAGCTCCTTTGGCTTTTTTTTTTTTTTTTTTGCTCAAGACGGATGCTCTACCCCTTGAGCCATCCCTCTGCTTCCAGCTTTTTGCTGGTTAACCGGAGATAAGAGCCTCCTGGACTTTTCTGCTCAAGTTGGTTTTAAACTGCGATCCTTACATCTTGGCTTACAACTAGGTAAGATTATAGGCATGAGCCACTGGTACTTGGCTTTCTCTGAATGTTTTGTATCAAAAACACTTCCCAGTATTTCCTGTCTTTTCTGTGCTATGCGTACATGGCTCTGTTTGCTAGGGGAGCGCTCAGAAAAAGGCATGGAACATTCTGTGCTTGGGGAAGAGTATTTCAGTAGTAATGTGCCTTTCATGGTCTGTCTTCTGTGTCTCTGTCTCCAGATTCTTCAGGAAAATAATGAACATCCTTCTGCAGTTCATCCCGGAGATGATTTTTATCCTGAGCCTGTTCGGATACCTGGTGTTCATGATCATTTTCAAATGGTGCCAGTACGATGCCCACGTGTCCCAGTATGCCCCCAGCATCCTCATCCACTTCATCAACATGTTTCTGTTTGACTATGACGACCCCTCCAACGCACCCCTGTATAGCCATCAGGTATAGCTGCTTGTTAGAAAAGCTGCATTTAAGCTGAATGCTTCGAATGTCTCACATCTGTAATCCTCGCTGCTCACGCTGCTGAGACCTGAGGCACATGACTGTAAGCCATCCGGGGCAGAAAAATTCTTGAGATTCTTAACCAGCAAAAAGCCAGAGTGGAGGTGTGGCTCAAGTGGTAGAACACCAGCCGTGAGTGGAGAAGCCAAGAGATTGCAAGACCCTGAGTTTAAGCACCAGTACACACACACACACACACACACACACACACACACACACACACACACACACACACACACCCCAGTTTATTAAAAAAAAAACGCAGACATTAGTTGAGGTTCATAAGAAAGAAAATTGAATAGGAAGAAGATCAGAAGCATCTCTGTTTTATACTGGTTGTAAGTTTCTAGAAAACCAGTCTTGGAGCTGAAGGCATGGCTCAGCTGGTAGAGCACTAGCCAATGAGCAACAGCAATCAGGTACTGAGTTCAAGTTTTGGTTTGGACCAAAAAAAGAAAAACAAAAAAAGAAACTCAGTCTCTCCTACAGAATCAGACTTAGGGGCTCCTCCTATAAACGATAGAGGGCCAGCAGTATTTTCTTTTGCAAAACTATAAATTCCTCCCCCCTCCCCCCACTGGATATAAGAAGAACTCAGTGAGTAATCACTTTGGTAGTCTTGAGTGAAAATGCTAAGAGAGAGCACAAGGTCCCAAGTTCAAGGCCCAGTACTGGCATAAAATAAAATAAAAATCATTGATGAAGTACAAATGGACCCAAGATAGATTGCCACAGAATGGTGTGCTGAGTGAGTCACATGCTCTGGCTTTTGTGCGTCCCATATCACAGGTGATTTCGGGGAGTGGGCTTGAGGGCCGGGAAGCATCAAGCTGATCGCTACACGTGGCACCCACACTTCTTGTTCCAAGATTAGGCTCGGGAGCACATGAGCGGTGAGGGGTTACCTGGAGATAGGCCGTAAAGTCACAGCTGTCGCCGGTGGCTGGCGGGCATCGCAGGCTGAGCCCGGCTGAGCCCGTCCTCTTGCCCCACCTCTGGGAATGTGTGCTGGGAGTCGGTGCTGCTGAGATCACCCATGTGTCCCGTGTTCCCTGCGCAGCGCTTCTGTGGGCTTCATTATGATGATTTTGTTGGTCTTGCAGCAAGAAGTCCAGACCTTCTTTGTGGTGATGGCCTTGCTTGCCGTGCCCTGGATGCTGCTCATCAAGCCCTTCGTGCTCAGAGCCAGGCACCGGAGGTCTCAGGTAAGTCCAGGCTTGGGTGTGCCCACTGCGGGGTCTGGGTCCTCTTTTTTTTGTGGGTGTTGGTGCTGGAGCTTGAGCTCAAGGCTCAGGAGCTGTTGTTTGGCTTTTTTGCTTAGGGCTGGTACTGTACCACTCAAACCCTACCTGCAGGCCGGCATTTTGGAGATAGGGTCTTGAGGACTTTTCTGCTTGGGCTGGCTCCTGCTGCTTCCTGAATAGGATTCATTACAGGAAGGAGCCATGTGCCCAGCTAATTTCCAGCATAATAATCTTCTCTAACACATTAAATTGTGTGTATGTGTGTGTGCACATGTGCGTGTGTGTGTGCACACGTGCGTGTGTGCATGTGTGTGTGTGCATGCTAGCACTGGGCTTGAACTCAGGACCTGGGCATTGTCCCTTATCTCTACCTCTTGAGCCACAGCTCTACTTCCAATTTTATAATGGTTAATTGGAGATAAGGATCTCCTGGACTGTCCTGCCCAACCCAGCTTCCAACCATGGTCCTAAGATCTCAGCCTCCTGAATAGCTAGGATTACAGGTGTGAGCCACTAGTGCCTGGCTCTAACACATTAGATCTTGCTCCTAAAGGCTCTGCTTAGGATGTGTGGCTGCTGTCTCATGGTAGTTTATGATTTCCAAGAGTCTAAACTTGATTGTGTTATTGGTTGAACATAGGAGTATTTTAATCTAGTTTTACTTCTTTAATGAATAGTAAAAGTCGTTTTTTGAGCAGTGTCCTAGAGTTGTGAGATTTCATTACATTACATTGTAGATTGCATTGTAGAACCAGAGAAGTAAACACTTGAAATAAGTCAGCTCTTTATTTATAGGTGATTTTCCTCCTGTTGCTAAATATTTGTTTGAGCCATTTTTTTCCCTTTTGTTATACTGCTGGGAAGCTCAGATTTACTTGGAAGTGCTGAAGCATTTAATAATGGCCTACAGTAAATAGGATTTAGGGAGATTAGCCCTTCCCTGGACATTTGAGCCCCCCCCCTGACTTTATATTCCCCCTGCTCGCTTCCATTAGTGAGAAGGATTAAATGGACTGTATGGAGATCATGAATGTCTTAAATGGTTAGAAATATTTTCAGATTAAATTCTACTTTTCTAAAATCTCTGTTGAATATTGATCTCAAATGTAATTTCTATGGGAGATGGGGTCCGGGTCGGCAAAAAGTACTTGTGGATTGTGGAGTTAATGGAGGAGAGGCCAAGACAATGAAGGGAGATAGACCCCCCCTTATTAGAACTTGGAAAGCTGGGTTCAAGTTCAAAGTCCCAGGTTGGAGGCTGCCACTCAGCAGTAACATGGTCGGCTGTTATTCACAAGGTCCTCACAGCATTTAATCCTCAGCACCACACAATAGACACTCAAATTAAAAACAACAACAACACTGTGCACCACTCATATCCACACACCTCTCCTGAAAAGAAATCAAAGTCTCAACTGACCTTCCACCTTCTTGAGAGCATATTTTATTTAAGAGTTTGTTGGCTTGATTTTTAACTGGTAAATGTTTAAACATCTGGCAAGGGAATTTGCTCAGAGCCCTGCAGCTATGAAAGCAGATCCGCCAAAGACAGAAACGTAAAGCCGGGGGCAGGACTCGAGTGGGAGAGCATCTGCCAGGAAATGAGTCTGGAGGGATGTGGGACATTTAAAGCCACTCGCAAAGACTCGAAAGGAATGAAACTTAAGCAGTGCTGAACTGAAAATCCAAAATCTAGATGTCTCAGAACCATTTTTTTTTCTTTTTCTTTTTGGGTCCGGTTGTGGGGCCTGAACTCTGGGCCTGGCGCTGTCCCTCAGCTCTTCAGCTCAAGGCTAGCGCTCTACCACTTGAGCCACAGCGCCACTTCTGGCTTTTTTCTTTTTGCTTATGTAGTGCTAAGGAATCGAACCCAGGGCCTCATGCATGCAAGGCAAGCACTCTACCGCTGAGCCAACTTCCCAGCCCCGTCTCAGAACCATTTTGAGCTACAACAGGACGCCATGAGTGGAAAAGTCCACACCTGGCCTTGTGCGTCTGCTCACAGTTAAAATGCAGGTGGACCAAACCTATGGTTAATTTCCCTTCACAGCACACGTGTTTGGTATAACATACATGCACACAAGTAGATAATATTTGCACATAATTGTGCAAAGATTCCAAAATCAAAAACAGGGGAAATCAGCCGGGCGCTGGTGGCTCACGCCTGTAATCCTAGCTACTCAGGAGGCTGAGATCTGAGGATGGCAGTTCAAAGCCAGCCCGGGCAGGAGAGACCATGAGACTCCTATCTCCAATAAACCACCAGAAAACCGGAAGTGGCGCTGTAGCTCAAGTGGTAGAGCGCTCGCCTTGAGCTGAAGAGCTGAGGGACAGTGCCCAGGGCCAGAGTTCAAGTCCCACGACCGACGAAAAAAAAAAAAAAAGAATTTTACTACCTCATTTCATTTGTTTTCTAGAATGGGAAATAAGCATACACCTAGCATTAAAGATAATAAACATAAGGGCTGGGAAGGTGGCTCAGTGGTAGAGTGCTTGCCGTGCATGCATGAGACCCTGGGTTAAAAAAAGCTGGAAGTGGCGCTGTGGCTCCAGTGGTAGAGTGCTCGCCTTGAGCTGAAGAGCTGAGGGACAGCGCCCAGGCCCAGAGTTCAAGCCCCACGACCGACAAAAACAAAAAAAAAAAACAAAAAAAAAAACAGGGGAAATCAAAATATGTCTGATTCTAAGCATTTCAGACAGTGGAAAATTAATTGGTGTTACACTCAAACCTTAGTGTGTAACCAGGCTGAACAGAACAATAGCTGTCTAGTGTTCTTGTGCTTTTTCCCCCCTAAGCTGTTCTATACTATGATGCTTTTATTTTCAAGAGATTATCTGTGTTGGGAAAGTTATTAATCTTGGTAATTTTGCCCAGTAAAATTTTGACAGGGTGTGTTTTCTTTTTTTCTTTCTTTCTCTCTTTTCTTTCTTCCTCTCTCTCTCTCCCTCCCTCCCTCCCTCCTTCCCTCCCTTCTTCCTTTCCTCCCTCCCTTCTCCTTCCTTCCTTCCTCCCTCCCTTCCTTCCTTCCTTCCTTCCTTCCTCCCTTCCTCCCTCCCTTCCTCCCCTTCCCTTCTTCCTCCCCTTCCCTTTTTCCTTCCTTCCTTCCTTCCTTCCTTCTTTTCTTTCATTCTTTTCCTCCTCCTCCACCACTACCTCCTCCTCATCAGCCTCCTCCTCTTCCCTCCTCCTCCTCCTCCTCTTCCTCTTCTCCTCCTCCTCCTCCTCCTCTTCTCCTTCTCCTTCTCCTCCTTCTCCCCCCCTCTCTGTTTCACTATTAGAGCTTGACACAGGGCCTGGCCCATTGTCTCTTAGGATTTTTTTTTTGTCCTCAAAGCTGGCACTCTACCAGTTGAGCCACAGCTCCATCTCTAGCTTTTTGGTGGTTAATTGGAGGTAAGAGTCGCAGATTTACTAGCCCAGGCTGGCTTCAAACCACAATCCTCAGATTTCAGCCTCCCAAGCAGCTAGGATTACAGGTATGAACCATCAGTGCCCAATCTGCAGGATGAGTTTCTTTTAACAACAGGGCTCTTCGATGCGTGTATTGCCTTTCTGTAAAAAAGGCATCATTGCAAGTTTCTCCAGTGCAATGGGATAAAAGTGCGTGCTCTGTCTGCAGTTGGACTACCTGTATTTGGGTCCTGACTCTCACTGGCTTTGCCAGCCTGTGGCACTGGACACAATTTGAAACTTTTCTGTGCTAGTTTAATTTTCTATAAAATAGGCTGATAAGTCTACGTATATAAAATAGTTGTTTTGAAGACTCAGTGAGATAAGTTTAGACCAGGACCAAATACCTAGTTAACCTTTTAAGTTTTTAGAGATAGTGTCTTACTTTGTAGCCTAGGCTAACCTTGAACTCAGCTGTCTCCCTGCCACGGCTTCCCAAGTGCTGGGATTACAGGCTTGTAACACCATGCCTGGCTTATAGCTGACACTGAAGGAGAACTTTCATTTGACATAGTACTCTTATTTTATTTTTATTGTAAAGGTGATGTACAGAGGGGTTACAGTTACACAAGTCAGGTAGTGAATACATTTCTTTTTTAACAGTAGCATTCTCTTGCTCATTTTCTCCCAGACTTCCCCTCCCTTCTCCCTCCCCACCAAGTTGTATAGTTCATTTCAACATAACGTCTAGTGAGTATCACTGCTGAGTTGGTTCATCCTTTGTCCCACCATTTCTGTGCTTCCCTTCCCCTCCCCAATCAGATAAACTTATATACAAGACAGAAAATTTAAAAAAAAGTGATAAAAGGGGAAAAAAGCAAAGAAAAAAGAAAGAAAGAAAAAAGAACCACAAACAATACAATAAAAATACCTCTTGTTTCCATTTCTTGGAGTTTATGTTGATAAGCATCATTTTATATGATTGTATGCACATAGCTATTGAGCACTTGTGATACTCTCCTAAGAATATTCTCCTTTGGTCTCACTGTGTGAATGTTTAGAGTCCAGTTTAATTAATCATGTCCAGGGTAAGGAGAACTCACTCCAAAACTCCTTAAACTCTTCAATAAAATAGACAGGGAAAGATCATTACCAAACTCATTTGATGAAGCCAGCATAACCTTCTTCCCCAAGCCAGATAGGGTCTCATCAAAGAAAGAGAACTCTAGACCCATCTCTTTGATGAACATCAATGAAAAACTTCTCAATAAAATTCAGCAACTAACCAAAAAAAAAATTGTAACACTATGATCAAATGGGATTCATTCCAGGAATGCAAAGCTGGTTCAATACACTCAAGTCAATGAGTGTAATTCAACACATCAGCATGAGCAAGGACAAGAACCACATGATCATCCCAGTGGACGCAGTACTGGTGTAGTTCTAAAGGTGACTTTGGCCCTCTCTTCCTTTGCTTCCTGACAGCTGCAGTCCTTCACACTCCACTCAAATGCCACAGATGACATGGAGGGTGGCCATGCCAGCCCGTCTGCTCAGAAGCCTTCTGCAGCAGCCCATGGTGCCCAGGATGACCATGAAGAAGAGGTATGGGGGACTAGAGCACCCAAGGAAGACTGGCAAAGGTTTTAGAAGTAGGATCTAGTCTTTTTTTTTTTGGTCAGTTGTGGGGCTTGAACTCTGGGCCTGGGCATTGTCCCTCAACTCTTCAGCTCAAGACTAGTGCTCTTCTACTTGAGCCACAGTGCCACTTCTGGCCTTTTCTGCTTATGTGGTGCTGAGGGAGGAATTGAACCCAGGGCCTCATGCATGCGAGGCAAGCACTCTACCACTGAGCCCAGGATCTAGTCTTAATGGTCATTGGAGTGTAATCACTGGCCTGCCTTCAGTGGACTGGGGAGAGTCTGGGGACCCCGCTGGCCTCTGCCCTATAGCCCTGACTTCTGGGAGTTTGGGGAGACCCCAGCACAGTGGCAAATCTACCAGGATCAAAGCTGCTCCATACCAACCAATCTGGGAGCATTTTAATGTTTTGGCTAGATACTCAGGTAGGTATGGTTGAGTATCAACTACAGGTGTAGTAGCACAGAAGGTTCTAGAGTCAGCTGTATGGTCAGCTCCATCTCAGCAGTGGCCCTCGGTGGCAGCACAGCCCTTATCTAGCTGAAGTCTGGAAGTCAATGGGTTGCCATGGCCTGCTTGTTCTTCTGCCTCAGCTCTGCTCCGCCCCCGTCTTGGTTTGGTTCTTTGCTTCTCACGTGATGGAACAGCTGGCTGTGTTCTCACCATGCCTGAAGTCGCCACTGCCCTGCCTGGCTCGTTTGCCTCGAGCTCCCTGCTGGTGTTCGATAAGAGATCTGCTTTCTGTGGCCATCAGAGACGCTACAAATGGCACCATTCATGGGATTCATTAACAAGATTTTTGTTTTCATTTAAACTAGTAGATAGGTAAATCAAATTAACCTAATTAATTGCCCAAGATTCCAAGTACAGAGAATAAACCCTCTACTCCCTGCTGGTGGCTACTGATACTGCCAGCTCTGTCTGCCACACCTGCTGGGGTATTTTCGAAGCCAACCCACTTACCTTTGGACTCAAGTTCTAGCCTGTCTGGCATGACTGCCTTGCGTGTCCTCATGCCCTGGATATGCTCGGGCCGACCCCACCTGCACCTTCACGCCAACTGGCTCTCCATGTTTGAGCAACTTTACTCTCCATCCACCCGCAAGCGTAGGCTTGACTCTGCCTCCTTCCGAATGCCTGTCTCTTTCCTCTTCCTCACCCTCTTCCTCCTCTTCTTCTTCCCCTTCTGTATCCAAACTTAGGCAATCCAAGGTCAAGAGCATAGTTCTCCAGGCTGACAGATCTGCCCCCATATCAGCTGCAAGTCTGAGTGGGAGGGGGGTTTCCAGAGCCGCCATCACTTCAGACCAGCTGTCCACACATCGGGGGAAACCCTCAGCCTCGTCAGTGGTTCCTGGAACAACTTATGACCTTAGGAAGGTGCTGCCTTTTTGTTGTAGCAAAAGGACACAATTAAGAACTAGGCAGAGACGCACGGGGTGAGATCTAGGGGTGGAAGAGTTTCATAGGTGCAGCTCCGTGTCCTTAGAGACAGGTTATAGTCCTGGCACCAAGGGTGCTGTAGGCACCCCCCTGCCCCAGGTATTCCTGGGGTTCCATGATATGGACACGATTGGCAACAGGCAGCTCCCCCAGCTCCCCCATGCCTGGAGGTCAGCCCCAGCCGTGTGATCATGTGGTTGGACTCTCTGGTGTGGTCAGGTTGGATCCTGGTTGAATCAGTGTCCATTGTGTCTATATGTATAGCAGTATCACACTGTACTCCGTGAATATGTACAAGTGTCTCATGTTCTTAAAACAAGAAAACTAGGTTTTACCCCATGAATACGTGTTCTATGTTCCTTAGGGACAAAAAGGAAAACACCGATTTTTAAATGATCTCATGACAAAAAGACAGTACTTAATGACAGAACTAGAACATTCTCTCTTCCAGTTCAACTTTGGGGACGTCTTTGTCCATCAGGCCATCCACACCATCGAGTACTGCCTGGGCTGCATTTCCAACACGGCCTCCTACCTCCGGCTCTGGGCCCTGAGCTTGGCGCATGCGCGTGAGTGAGCACCAGCTTGTCACCTCCTCCCTGGTGGGCCGAGCGGATGGACTAGTAGCCCAAGTGCCTTCTCTTGAGTTATTCGTAGCAGGTTTTCCAGAAGAAAGGTTGTTTTAACATCGTTTTACTGTGCACATATGTATCCTTAAGTGATTTAGTGTAGTTTTATATGGGTTTTTGAGTTCCTTCCTCCCTCCTTCCCTTCGTCCGTTCGTCCCTCCCTCCCTCCCTCCATCCCTCTCTCTCTCTCTCTCCCCCCCATCTTTCTTTCTTTCTTTCTTTCTTTCTTTCTTTCTTTCTTTCTTTCTTTCTTTCTTTCTTTCTTTCTTTCTTTCTTTCTTTCTTTCTTTCTTTCTT